CATCAGTATTCGGTTTCCAACAAGTCCGTCTTCGCTTTACAAGCATCCGCTTTGCAACTCTGCGCCTAGGCTCTCCCACAATCGCCTATTCTCCGCATGGTGCGGTGAGCGTGGACGCATACGCGAACTTCAGATAGCCTCGTATACGTTTGACGAAGTTGTCAACCTTGAGCCAGCAGCTACATCGATTCCGTATGGCTGGCGAGGGCGCCGCTACGGAAGTCATGGACCTGGAGGTGCAGGTCGCTGCTTTGCGGGAGCGCCATAGCGATGGCGAAATCAGTAACGCGGATTTGGAGCTGCTGATCGAAGGAGCTCCCGCGAAATGGGCTCGCGATCACCCACCTCCTCGTGCTGATGCGGAAATTGAGTCCGCTTCTCCCCGTGCTGAAGGCGACAATGTCAACATCGATGGCATTGAAGCCGCAAGAGTTACGCGCGGTGAACTACGTGGGGCCGTCAGAGTGAACACCGTGAGCGTCGGTGGAACGCAAGCGCAAGTCCTTCGGTCTGCAGTTGCAGCGAGTGCGCGTAGTGACGCGCATGGTTATCGCAACTCTGTGCGACGGAGTGGTGGCGGACCCTCGTGGACAGCAAAAGCGTCAAATGTACGCGATGGTGGCATTGCTCCGGAATACGGATACTTCAAGTTTTCACCCGACAAGATCGTCTTGCCGAAACTACTTGAAGGGCGCCACGACTTGACAACGTGGGTCGAGTCCATTGAGCCGCAGTTGGAAATCGCACAACTGAAGAAGTTTGTGTCAGAAGTCCACTGGTGATCCCCGATTGATCCTAGGGAAGGGTTACAGGCACGTTGGCCTGGGGGGTTGTGGGCGCACTGACCCACTACTTAACAAGCCCTTTTATCCCAGTGGTCTAGTGGCTGGGGTTCTGACATGGTATAAGAGCAAAGGTCTCGGGTTCGAATCCCGGTGTGTGCACTTCGGGCATCCAAGTTCGGGGGGGTGTCAGAAGTCCACTGGTGATCCCCGATTGATCCTAGGGAAGGGTTACAGGCACGTTGGCCTGGGGGGTTGTGGGCGCACTGACCCGCTACTTAACAAGCCCTTTTATCCCAGTGGTCTAGTGGCTGGGATTCTGACAGTTGGTTGACGGAACGGTGGAATTGCCGCCTGAGGATGACGCTGAACGGCGCGCACAGTTTCATTTCGCACAACTGTTGACGTTTATGGTCATCTCGAGATGTTGCTCGCCGGTCGTCCAAGTTGCATTGAAGCCATGCCGTCTTCGGGTGGACGCTGGTTTCCAAGCTTGGCAATTCATTATGAAGACCTACAAGGCAACGGATGACCTTTACATTGGCCAGCTGGAGCAACGGTTGACAAATCTGGAAATGGGGGAGCATGAAAGCGCAACCGCATACTGCAATTGCGCACAACAGATTCTTGCGGATCTGCGTATGGCTAGCGTGGACTACTCAATGTCTTCGTATATCACACATGTCATCAAAGGTCTGCCTGCAAGCTACAATCTCCTTCGACGCATGGTGAAACTCCCAGGTGTACGGGAAGAGCTCAACGAGGATATGCTTTCGAGCTACATCATTGAAGAGGAGTTCACACTTGAATCCGAGCAGCGCAAGGAGCAGTTTCTCCCTCAAGTCAACTATGTCGCGTCGAAGCAGCAGCGGCAGCAACAGAAATGGGCAAAATCGCGCGAAGGAGGCGACAAGGACAAACAAGTCAACCGCGCGAAGACGACCAAAAGTGACGAGCGCTCAGGTGGCGAAAAGCGCAAATCTCCACGATACTGCTTCGTTTGTGGAGATCCCGACCACTTAGCGAACCAGTGCCCCGACCGCGTCATCAAGGAGAATGGTGATGGCCAGGAAGCTCCGCGTGGACGATCGCAAAATCGTCAACCTCGTCGCGAAACCGCATACCGCGAGGACAACCAGCACTCTGATTCCGAGGACGAGCAGCCGTCGGATGTCGGAATCTCCCGTGGAAAGGGTGTGAAGGACGCCCCAAGTGACGATCTGGAGCAAATAGGGCAAGCGTCGTGTTCGATGGCCGTCGTGGTGACGGACGCATCGGCGAAACCGGCCATTTCCGTGGCTCCGGATGCTGGCGAGGATTCCCAGGTGGTAGCTGCAGCGGTGCAAGCCAATCCGACCGTGGTACTCCTCAACAGTGGCTGTTCTCATCACCTCATGGGGATGCGTGAGGCATTCGTGGAGATGAATGCGGAAGGCGACATTCACCATGTGCGTGGATTCAGTGGCGATGTCCAGCCTGTAAAAGTTCGCGGCACAATTGCTCTTCAAGGGACGGCAGGCACACATGTTCTCATTCCTGATGTGCTGTATGTGCCTGGCGTACAGGCAAATCTGCTGTCAGCTGGACAGCTAAAAGACAGTGGTGTGCAGTTTCAGGACACAGGTGCCGAGACACTTCTCGTATCTGCTGAGGGAGATATTCTCGGTCGTGCGAGCTACACCGGCCGCGTCCTCTGCACGGACCTCCGTCCATGTTCATCAATGCCAAACTCTACCCTCCCACCGTCGGTCACCAAACCGTCAACCTCCTCCTCGCCTACTGTCATCTCCTCTCCGCTGACAGCTGCGGAAAGCCTCTCTTTTCCCGCCGCCGACACCCCGTCCAAGTCGGCCGCCGACGATGAGGGGAGACATGACGCGCTACTTTCGACGCCGCGCATTGGCATCGTCGACGGTCGACCTGCCGCATCTTCTGAGGATGGCGCGCCTGGTATGCAGAAACCAGTGCCTGGTATGCAGAAACCAGCGCCTGGTATGCAGAAACCAGCAGAGGAGCAGGTGACAGGGGAGCAGATCAGCGACAACACGTCGAGCGACGTTGTGGAGGTCACCGGTGAAGCTGCAGGGGAGTCGTCTAGCGACTGTTCTTCGAGCGATGTGGTGGAAATCAAGTCGCCGACACGGCATTCCACCCGCTCCAACTTTGGTGTGCCCCCAAAGAAATGGGCCGATGTGTGCCCGGAATTCGCTAACACGCTTCTCGATGACGCCAATGCGGATACCGCGACGATAACCGTCAAGGAAGCGCTTACGTACACCCCGACAAGCGTGCAACCCGACTTCACGAAGGCGCTGCATTCCCCGGCATTCAAGCGCTGCTCTGTTGCCGTTGGGCAAGTCGATCTTGCAGACTACGCGCGTGAGAACGCGCAGGATTAGGTGCCATGGCCTTCAACATGGCTGGTGCGGTAAGTATGCGTGTGTGGAAAACACGCGGACGAGTATCAGGATCGTCACCCTGTTGTACTCTATTATTTCCTTTCGCTTTGTGTGGTGTGCTAACTCCTCAGTTGCCCAGGCACGAGAAGGGCAGGGGAGTGTTAAGGCGAAGCCCTGCACGCGCCTGGTTTTACGTGTAGCAGCCCTATGCGGAGTAGCGAGGCTTCGCATACCGCATACCGGTTTTTCCAGTATTGCGGTATTCGCCAAGTACACTCCAATCTGTGCGCTTCGGTATGCACATTTCGACATTGGACTAGGGAAGTGACGACATTGCACAAACGCGTATGTGCAACTGTCAGTGCTGCAAGAACCTACGCAACTACTCCTGAGCAGGTAGAAATACACTTGACGGTATTTTCACCTGATGGTATTTTCACCTGGCGGTGCCAGCCTGGAACCGCATACTAGAGTAGGTGCTTGCACGTTCTCCTTGAACAGCGTTCTTCATGAACAACGTTCTCGTAGAATGTTCCTGCACACGTCACTATGCTTCTCTATAAGGTTCATGTTGTTTCTGTTGTAATCAATATAATCAATTAATCAATTACTTTCCTTTCGTTACTGGACACCAAGCCTATTGGTGCATACCAAGCATGCTGTTCTCCAAATACCAGTATCCGGTTTCCAGCAAGTCCGTACACGGAAAACCCGCACTTCACTCTCTGATCGTGCAACTTTGCGCCTAGGCTCTCCCAAAAATCGCCTTTTCTCCGCAATGCGGTACAGGGGTTTATATAAGAATACAGTGGAATACGAACGGTCCTAGCTAGCCATATACTCTGAGGGGGTACATTCCCCTTAGGGCTAATCTAGATGCAGGATTGCAACCGTGCGATTTGGTAACCGTACGCGGTAACCGTTTGAACATTTTCCGCGCTTTGCACTTCAAATTCGTCCTGCTTGTAACTGTCTGGATAATTGTCTCGTTGCTTGGCCTTTCGTCCTCGCTGCAGTCATCTTCCCGTTAAGGATTTGTAACTCAGGAATGTTTATTCAACTATTCCATATCGTAACAGGGTGGTTTGGGCGCGATCGTGTTGGTGGGCATGGTGCCGAGGCGTGTGCCGCGAGGTGGTAATTGGCTACTGTTGCATGTACAGTGGCGGGAACAGTCGTGTACGCGGTATTTAATGTGCCTGGAAATAAGGAAAAGTTGTTTCGTTACACTAATCTTGAGATTTCAGGTAGCCTTGTAAATGTATATGCTCTTTATGAAGGGGATGGAAGGAGTCTCAAATTCCTGAATGGGTTATGCTACAACGCGTACAACCTCCCGCCTAGGCTACCTCCCGTCGCTTTCGGCCTTCGAGGTCCTTCGCCGAGCTACATCTTTAGTGGGCTTTCATTTATATCAAGGCACAGCTTCGATATTGCTTTTCCGCACACTCGTAACAACGCATAACAGCCTCCGTGAATCGTAGTCGCTCGAGTGTGCAGATCGCAACGCCCAAAGAACGCTGTATGCTCCGCTCGACAGGTGCAGCTGGTTTTGGTGAGCTCGAATGGCTGGCCGCGAGAACTCGTCGGCGGACTGGATGGCGCGTCTCGAGCGCGCCTTGCGCTCCACGCAGCCTGGTGGGTCGCCGTTGAAACCACCACTCGCAGCAACTGTAACCTGCGTAACCCTAATCGAATCCATTTCAGCTGGAGCCTTTCAACCCTTAGGGTAAGCCCGCATGCGTTACACCTCCACTCCGCCCCGCCCACTCCGCCCCGCCCACTCCGCTCCGCTCACTCCGCCCCGCCCACTCCGCGCATGTCGCTCCTTCCCGCGCTGTGTTATCAGTCACACTCACATCCCCTTCGTTCCCATCCATCGCCCGTGTGTCCCGCTGTGCCCCGCCGTGCCTTGCCTGCCGCGTCTCTGCGAAGCTCCAACCCATTGATTGCTCCAGATCGCTCCTCTCCGCTTCTTCAATGCACGTCTTCCCTCGCTGCCCTTCGCCTGACTCCACCTCCTACCTTCCCTGCTCTCTGTCCCGCTCCCCGCTCCACTCGCCCCCACCTCGTCTCAATCTCCTCTCCAACCGTTTTTCCGCCCCCGTCCCCGACTCATGCCACCCTGCGTCACACTGCTGTCTCCGCATTTTTGCTGCCGCTGCCCTACCGTGCCGACCGTGCCTACCGTGCCTACCGTGCCTACCGTGCCTGGCGTGTTTGTTGACGAGCAACAGCATCAGGCCCTGCACCTGCCACTCTCCTGACTCTCCCAATCCCTCCCCTCTCCGCCTCTCTCCCCTCTCTCCCCCCTCTCCCACTCTCTCCCCACTCTCCCACTCCCTCCCCTCTCTCCTTGCTCTCCCCTCTCTCCGTTCTCTCCCATCTCCCCTCTCTCCCGTTTTTCCCTCCTCTCCCCTCTCCTCCTTCTCTCCCCTCCCTCCCGCATCCAACCCCTGTCCCCGCCCTTCAGCCACCCAGTGCCACGGAATTCTGACTGCCGGGCCTGCCCTGGTCGAATGGACGCTGGGGCAGCAGCCGGGGAGGAGTGCTGGGGCTGGGAGGAAGAGGAAGAGGGGGAGGGAGGCGGAGAGCGGAAGGGGGAGCGGGTGGGAGGAGCAGGGGCAGCAGCGACAAGCCCCTGTGGCTGAGAGTGACGTCGCACGATTCAATTCGCTGGTTCTGCGTCTTGCTGATGTTTTCAGCAGCAGCAGCAGCAGCAGCGCCACCCGCCTCTGCATTCTCAAGCTCTTCCTCCTCCACCTCTCCACTGCTGCCTCCCCACTCCCTCTCTCTCCTCCCGCTCCTCCTTCTACCTCTCCTCCTTCTCCCTTTCCTGCATCTCATCATGCCACGTCAGCTGCAGCAGCTGCCCCCTCCCTCACACCCGCCGCCCTGAGAACGCCCCTCGGTGCTGGGAGGTGCGACGCGGGTGGTGACGCCATGCCTGACGTCAGCAGCATGTGTGACGTCAGCCTGCTGCATTGGCGGTGGAGGAGGGAGGGAGAGCGAGTGAGGGATGTGTGGAGGGGAGGGAGAAGAAGGGGAGAGAGAGTGGTCACGAGGGAAGGAGAGAGAGAAAGTGGTGGTGCTGACATTGATAGTTTTGGTGATGATGGGAGCAGCGGTGACAGTGATGATTGCAGTGCGAGTGATGGTGATAGCGATAGTGGCGATCGTGCTGGCAGTGATGGTGGTGCTGGCGGTGGCAGTGACTGGGCGGGTGTGTTGACTGCTGGGAAGCTCTTGAACCCAACCCAAGTCATCACCCGCATCGCCCCTCTGCTCTCTCGCTCCTCCTCCTTTCCACTCCCACCCACCGCAGCAGCAGCAGCAGCAGCAGCAGCAACAGCTGCCACTTACCCAGCAGGAACAGCAGGCACACCCATGCCAGCAGGCACAGCAGCGGCAACAGCAGCTGGCGCTGTTGACTCCATCGACTCCCTTGAAGCCCGCTGTCTCGCGCTGCGCCTGATTGGCTGCCTTGCTCCGCTGGCTGCTGACGTGGCACACGTGCAGGAGTTGGTGGTGCGGGCGGCGATGGAAGCAGAGGGACAGCAGGAGGTGAGCGAGGGGAGCAGGGGGAGGGGGAGAAAGAGGGGAATAAGGGGGAGTAGGAGGTGAGGTGGGTTGTGTGTTTAGGTTTGCATGTGTGCGTGCGTGTGTGCGTGCGTGCGTGCGTGCGTGCGTGCGTGCGTGCGTGCGTGCGTGCGTGCGTGCGTGCGTGCGTGTGTGCGTGCGTGTGTGCGTGTGTGCGTGCGTGCGTGTGTGCGTGCATGTGTGCGTGTGTGCATGTGTGCGTGCGTGCGTGCGTGCGTGTGTGCGTCCATGTGTGCGTGTGTGCATGTGTGCGTGTGTGCATGTGTGCGTGTGTGCATGTGTGCGTGTGTGCATGTGTGCGTGCGTGCATGTGTTGTGCATGTGTGCGTGCGTGCGTGCGTGTGTGCATGTGTTGTGCATGTGTGCGTGCGTGCGTGCGTGCGCGTGTGCATGTGTTGTGCATGTGTGCGTGCGTGCGTGCGTGTGTGCATGTGTTGTGCATGTGTGCGTGCGTGCGTGCGTGTGTGCATGTGTTGTGCATGTGTGCGTGCGTGCGTGCGTGTGTGCATGTGTGCATGTGTGCGTGCGTGCGTGTGTGCATGTGTGCATGTGTGCGTGTGTGCGTGTGTGCGTGCATGTGTGCGTGCATGTGTGCGTGCGTGTGTGCGTGCATGTGTTGTGCATCTGGTGGAGAAACGGGAGCGAGGAGAAGGGTGGTTGGGTGGGTGGAGACGGAAAAGAAGGCGGTGGTTGGGTGGATGTGTGGGTGGGTGTGCGTGCGTGAGTGTGTGCGTGGTTGTGTGTGTGCGTGCGTGCGTGGTTGTGTGTGTGCATGCCTGTGTGCTTGTGTGTCTGTGTGCCTGTGTGCTTGTGTGTGTGCGTGCATGTGTGCTTGTGTGTGTGCGTGCCTGTGTGCTTGTGTGTGTGCGTGCCTGCGTGGTTGTGTGTGTGAGTGCCTGTGTGCTTGTGTGTCTGTGTGCCTGTGTGCTTGTGTGTGTGCGTGTGTGTGAGTGTGCGTCTTTGGTGTCATTATTCTAAAGGCCTTGCTTGCTCTTCGCTTTGTGGTGTTCTCACTACACCCCCCCCCCCTCACTCCTTGTACCTCGCCCATCTCGCACCTCCTCCTGCTCCGCTTCAAATAGCCGCCTGTCCTCCTCCCCCTTTGTTTTGCGCTTTCCTCCTCGCTCCCCTCTTCCTCCCTTACCTCAACCCGGTGCTTCCCTCTCCACGCTCCCCTCCTTAACTCCTAGCTCCATCACTCTCTCTCTCTTCACAGCTCGCGTCGTGTCCTCTGCCGTGTCTTCCCACCCCAAGCCCCACGCAGCTCTCTTTGCTGCCACACTCTTTCATGTTGTCTACGCTCCCTTTTTCCTCAATCCCCTTTCTTCAACCTCCCCCACCCTTCCCTCCCACCAACCCCTCCCCCATCCTCAACCCCCACCCACCACCCCAGCAGCGCCACGCAGCTCTCTTCGCGCTCACCTTCCTCTGCGACGTCTCTCCACCCTTCGCCCTCCACACTCTCCCCCTCCTCCTCTCCCTCGCTCTCCCCGCCTCCCCACCGCCACCCCTGCCCCTCTCCCTCACATGCCATCTGCACCGCTCCTCACACCCACGTCTCCCGCAGCAAACCAAGCAGCCTGGAGTGAGAGGAAACGCAGACAGGAGTCAAGCAGAGGCGGACGAGCATGTGGCGGGGAGGCGGCAGCAGCAACCACCTGATGACTCGCCAGCTGCCCTTGCACCGTTGCACCCATACTCGTTCGCCCACTCCCTGTCTCCACCACACACACTCCTACCACTGGCCATGCACACGCCCCTTGTATCATCCTCCTCCCACATGCCACGTGTCAGCAGCCCATTGGCCCGGTGGAAAGGGGGTGACGAGGGGGAGGAGGGGGTGCGCGTGCGAGTGGCAGCAGTGGTGGTGAAATGCCTGGCGGGGCACGAGGAGAGGGCTGTGAGGCGCGTGGCATGGCAGGTGAGGAGAGGGATGGGAGGGAGAGGAGGGAGCAGTAGGATGAGAAGGCGACCTGGTGGAACGTGATAACAGCAGCAGGAGGAGAACGGTGAGGCAGGTGACGCATCAAGGGGGAAGCGCAGCAGCAGCAGTGGCCGATTGAGTGTTTGATGAGACTAGGCCTTCCCAGGTGTGCTTTGAAGTGTATCTGATTGAACAACCCAAAACATGAAGACAAGAGGACATGAAGACATGAACCCAAAACATGAGGAGAGGGCTGTGAAGCGCGCGGAGAACAGGGATGGGAGGGGGAGAAGGGGGGTGGATGGGAGGGGGTGAATGGGGGCGGATGGGAGGGGGAGAACTGGGAGCATTTGGGTAAGAAGATGACTTTTGAGTCAACTTAGAAGGGGTGAATGAGAGAGCAGTTGGGTGAGATGAGAAGGGCAGAAGTGGTGGTGAAGTGCTTTGGGGACACGAGGGAAGGGAGAGGCATGAGGAGAGAGCTGTGAGGCGCGTGGCGTGGCAGGTGAGGAGAGGGATGGCAGGTGAGGAGAGGGATGGCAGGGGGAGGAGAGGGATGGCAGGGGGAGGAGAGGGATGGCAGGGGGAGGAGGGGGCCGGATAAGAGGGTCAGAAGAGGGAGCAGTTGGGTGAGAAGGTGGCTTGGTAGGCCTTGAGCAGTTGGGAGCACAGCAGCAGGAGACGAGTGGTGAGGCAGGTGGATGGATGACTCGAGGTAAGCACAGCAGCAGCAGCGTTGGTGAAAAGGCCTGCTTTGGTGACTGACTGAGTGTCTGATGGGACTAGGCTGTTATTAACTTGAAGTGCGCAAAGTGTCTCATAACGTGAAGGGGATGGGACTAGACCACTCATAACCCCACCCCAAGAGTGCAATGTGTGCTGGAGGGTGGTAAGGTATCTTGGCCGTCATGTGTGGTGAGTTGGTTTTTGCGATTTCTTAAATCTCATTCTTCTCTCTCCTCTCCCCCTTGTCACCTCCCCTGCTCCTTGTTTCTCCCAGGTGGCAGTCTGCCTGCTCTCTGCCTTCCCCTGTGCCCCGTGGTCCCTGCTGCTGCGATCATGGGTGTGCGCGCTGCAAGCACAGCTCGGCTGATCACTCATTCTTTGCTGTGCCATCACACACACTCACACTGTCATGTGCATTTACACCCACACATGCAATCACGCCCGTACCCTCACATGCGCTCACACCCGCATCCTCACCCTCTCGTGAACAGTCGCATGTGGTTTCATAGCCTTTGCATGCATGGTAGCATGCATGTTCTCACATGTACTCAACTCAACATCCCTTGCGATGCCTACAAGCATGGAGCAGCGTGGTCCAAGAGCTTGCCAGGCATGGTTTTGTGCCCATGTCGTTCCTTTGAAATTTACTCACATCTACGTATGACTTTGAGCATAATTGTATCATGCGCTAGGGAAAAAGCTAGTAGAAACCACTCAAGACTTGTTTTTAGTGACCAACATTAAGCCTCGGGTGCAGTGAAATTCAGATTGAGAAAGCTTGCTTCTGTAGCAATTGGCATCGTTCTCATTACAATGGGCTCAAGTACAATGGTTCCTAGCAATTATAATAATATACTATCACATCCAAAATATCTAAGAACTTCTTCTACTCTCAAAAGATGACTAGCATGGGGAGGGTGGGTGGGAATTGAACTTGAGCGATTGTAAAATGAGAGACGTGGGTGGGGGAAGAATGACCCCAGCCCACATTATATATTCGGAGAAGGCGAATACCGCGCTTCGACGATGCACAAAATTGCATTACAGTCAGCTTCGCTTTCACAATACGCAAATTTGAAAGCGATAAACGCTTAGAAATTTTTCATATTGAGAAAGCTTGCTTCTGTAGCAATTGGCATCGTTCTTATTACAATGGGTGACGCTGAGACATGTGCAAGGGGGCGTGACGGCGGCGCTTGAGGGCCCTGGAATGTTGTGCTGGTGATGGCGCATGAGCCGTTGATTGGAGGTTGCGAGAGGCGTCAATCAGACGGTCGGCGGTGGGGGTGACATACATTTCCTTGGCCGTTTCACTGCGCCATCGACCTAGCTGTTTGAAGAGCCGATCCTCAATTCCTGCGTTTGCCGCTACAGTTGCCGCTCCTTTGCGAAAGGAGTGGGTGCCGAGCGCGTGGTCGCCGAGGCCGATGGCGTGGAAAGCTTCCCTGCACCAATTGCGTATTGTGGTATACGATGGTGGTTTGACGGGAAGTGTGTCGCTCGTGGCCAAACCAAACACTCGGATTAATGGCCCCGGTGTGGTAGGACCATATCCTGCTAGTTGGATGAAGTGCTTGGTGCATCGAACGGGGCAGAAGGGTCCCTGGCTTGCGGCAATGGGCACCCATGAGCCCTTCCCCTCTTGGTCGGTCTTCGAGCGCGGGATGAGTAGCCACATGGCATCGTCTTCAAACTGGATATCGTTCCAGCAGATGGCGGCGAGATCCGAATACCGCAGGAAGCCGGCGTACATGAGAAGCGGTATGAGTCCTTTTTGAAAGGTGGATGGGTCGTCCGAGCCAATGAAGGGTGCGGCCATGGCGTGCACTTGGTGAAGAGACACTGGTTCCTTGGTCCGGTGGGGCCGAGGGCAGTGGCGCTTGGCAAATTCTCGGACTTGAGATGTCATTGGGCCGATGGTAGGGCACGCGGCCCCAATCATACGGTGGGCAAAACCAACCGCCGAGCAAGTGAGTTGCACCACTGAGAAGGTGGCTTGGTGGCGAATGGCGTAGACGAGGTACAGCGCGAGTGTCATATCTTGTGCGGGCAGGAATGGTAATTTAGTCTTGATGCAGAATGAGCGGAACTGCTGCCAGTATGGTTCGCAAGTCTTGATCGTAGATTTCGCACGTGTTTGCAGCATCATTGTGAGCAATTGGCTCTGCAGCGAGCGGAGTAATCCTGAAGCGATAAGAGAGGACGCAAACAGAATATGTTAACGGAAGGAGATGCGCAAGGCCATCATCATGCTATGGGGGAGGCCGGAACCCGAGAATGCTGAGGTGTGCGTGCCTGGTGCGAGGCATTGGCTTCCGTGAGTAAGTTTCAGGCAATCACGGATCGGCGAGGCCCAGGCGGGTGGCGAGGGTTGGAGTAGTGGCCACCAACTAGCCCCGGGCCAGAAGGGGACGATGAGTGTCAGTGAGGCTGATGTCCTTTGTGCGTGGTGAAGGACTGCCGGGATCAATTGTGGTGGTGGAAAAGCGAAACCATGTTCGTCAGCCCAGGATGTTGCGAAGGCATTGATCGCTAATGCCTTGGGATGTGGGTGTTCGCAGTAGAATCGGGGGAGCTTGGCATTCGCAGCACTGGCAAAGAGATCTATAGAGTGCGGCCCCCAACGTCGTTCGAGAAGATTAAACCATGGGGCCTTCAAGGTGTAGTCATCTCGGTCGAGAGTCTTCGAGAGCTCGTCCGCGAGCGTGTTAAGCTCGCGAGGTATCCATTCCATGATCAAGCGAATGCGACGAGTCATGCAGGTGCGGATGATGGCTTTGCATGCGGAAGTGAGAAAACTGTTGCGTGATCCACCCTTTTTTAGAATAAAGAATACGCCCTGGTTGTCGACACGCACGAGCACATGCTTGTTCTGGATGAAGCTGGTGAAAGTTTGCAGCGCCCAGAGCACCCCCTCTAATTCACGACGAGTACTGGATGTGCCAGGTAGTTCCGGGGGCATGTTCGCGCAGGCCTTATGAGTCGTCGTGGAGAATGTGTCGAGTGTGGCCCCCCAGCTGTGCGCGCTGGCGTCGACGTGAATGATAGCGTCGTAGCTACCACGAACATGAAATGGGGCTCCATTGAAGTGGTCGAACTCGGTTGACCAGAACTCCAACTCTTCGCAAGCACTCGGGGACAGTAACAACCTGCTGTTCCATGAAGACGCATCGTTGATGGTTTGTAGTAAGGCATGACTGAATGCTCGCGCTGTCGCCCCAAGAGCAAGGGTCATGGAGGCGAGCATGCCTGTGATGCGTGCGACTTGCCGTACTGGGACTTTGTGCTGTGCACGTCCTGCTGCCAATAATGAGGCGATGGTGGATTGCAGGACGCTTCGTCGCTCGGTGCCGACAGAAAACTGTCCTCGTTGGGTATCGAGCTCCAATCCTAGGAATCTTAGCTGCTGAGTAGGATGGAGATGAGACTTTTTGGCGTTGATCACGAGGCCCGCTTCTCTTAGGTCCGTGATCGTGCGGGAGCAGACATCTCGAGCCGCGCCTTCTGTGTGGCACAGAAAGAGGATGTCATCTACGTAGGGAATGACGCGGACCCCTGTTGCTCGCCATCGACGTGCCAACTGCTTGATCAATTGAGTAAAGACGAAAGGCGCTGTCGCTAGTCCGAACGGAAGTGATCTGAAACAGTACGAACGCCCCTCGAACTGAAAGCCCAAGAATTTCCAACAGGATGCGTGGATGTCAACGTGGTGGTAACCCGACTTGAGATCAATTGAAAACATCCAATCCCCCGGATGTGCAAGTTCCGCCACGCGAGATAGTCCTTCGTACTTGAACTTCGGAATGCACAGCTCGTTATTAACTTTGCGTAAATCTAGGATGAGGCGACACTTGTCTCGCTGCTCGACGACGTTGAGGGGGCTAATGCATGCAAGCTCCGATGCTGGCACCTCGATTGCTGCGCCAGTTTGAAGAAGGTCTATGATGGCTGATCGCGTAAAATCCATGTGAGCATGGGTTCCAGCGTGATTGGAGCACTGAAATGGTTGTGGCGGTCCTTGTTTCCACGGCATCCAGTAGCCTCGTTCAATAATTGATAAGATAAGACTGCTCGTACACCATGTTCGCCACCAAGCCAGTGCGGATCGCAAGCGCCCTCGCATGACGAAAGTTGTCCTATCCGTCACTGCGTACTCGAAAGGGTCGTCTGGTTGCCCCAAGGCATGCATCGGCAGGCCTGCACATGGCAGTATACGAAAATGCAACACATGACCGTTAGCGTTTTTTTTTTTTTTTTTTAAACCAAGCAAGCATTGACGCTCGAGTGGGATAACCCCTCTTGTAAGCACGAGACCAGGGCTAGCACTCCCCCCATTCCGTGGTTCCATTTCTCGACCTTCTCACCCTCTCCCTTTCTCTCTCTTTCTCTCTCTTTCTCTCTTTCTTTCTCTCTCTCTCTCTCTCTCTCTCTCTCTCTCTCTCTCTCTCTCTCTCTCTCTCTCTCTCTCTCTCTATCTCTCTCACCCTCCCTCTCTCTCTTTCTCACCCTCTCCCTCTCTTTCTCTCTCTCTCTCTCTCTCTCTCTCTCTCTCTCTCTCTCTCTCTCTCTCTCTGTCTCTCTCTCTCTCTCTCTCTCTCTCTCTCTCTCTCTCTCTCTCTCTCTCTCTCTCTCTCTCTCTCTCTCTCTCTCTCTCTCTCTCAACTTCTGCCATTTCTTTTATGTGTCAGCCCATGGCAAGGTTGTTTGCCCTTTGGTTTTTCATATTAATGTTAGGAGATTAAGTTTCTCGAGGCTTCAATTGCCTCCCTCAAAAGGCCTCCTTGAGGCGTGGCGTGAGAAAAACTGAAGAGCAACCAGGAGATCCTTTAGTAAGGCTTCTCTTCACTCTCACAACAAAATGCACAACAAAAATTTATAATTAGAAAGAGCAACTCCATAGAGCTTATCAAGAACTTCTATGCAAGCGCCCTTAGACCCTCAATGGTCTATTCCCTTTAGAAACATTTTCACAGCAAAACTAAACGGGAAGAGATCAACTTCATGATGCTCTAGAGAGCTTATAGGCAAACGCCTTAGACCCCAAAGGTCTTTCCCCTAAGGGCTAGCCAAACGGCAATAAAAACCAGCCCAAGGGCAAGGCCAATAGCCGCCCCGTCGAGTTTAAACTACCGGCGCGGGTCCGTGAGGACCGTGCCCACCGGCAGGGCATGCGTTGGCAGTGTGGCCTGGCTGGCCACAGCGGAAACAGGTGCCGCGGAAGCCCTTTGGATTGCAGCCAGGAGCCATGTCGAATTTGCCACCAAACCCCGTGGGGCCTCGGCCTCCAAGGGAAGAACCGCGACCATAGGAGCCTTGGGCGCGGTTCATCGCTGCCACATCCGCGAGCGCCTGCTTGAAGGGGCGCGA